CCAAGGCTCGCGAAAATTCACATAGAACCTTTTTGAAACCTTTAACGTTCATAGAAACTGCTATAGACAATTTTATGAGATCCACAGGACTTTTTGACATTTCCCAAAATTTTTTTAGGACCTTAAGGTATCAGGAAAATTTCTTGAGACTCTCAGAGCCCAAAAAAAGTTTTTTATACAGTTTTATAGCATTTTTCTCATTGAATTTTTATAATAGCCTAGACATACGACAGCCTTAATTTGCATTAAAAGTTCTTAATTCAAATTAATTTGTATATTTCTTCATTTTTTGTGGTAAATGCGCAAAATCAAACTGAATTTATACTGAATTAAACAATTTCAATATGGCAATGCTGTAGAAAATAAATTATTTGTTGTCAAATTTGTTTACGTTTATGAAAAAAAATATTAGAAATAAAGGAAAATTTCAACATCTTTTCCAATCGGGAGCGGTTTTACTACGATTTTAGCTGTTATTCTTCAGCCCTGTGGATCTCACACTATTTCATAAAGATGTAAAAAATCCCAAAAAAGATTGGGAACAATGTGTGAAAAATTTCATCCAACACACAGTTTCATTTCTTTACATATTTTTGAAACAAAAAACTGGTTCATAAAGAGAAATTTCTTGAGACTCTCAGGGCCCAATAAACATTTTTTATACTATGACGACTCAATAAATCTGTGTATAAGGCTTATAAAATTTCAATAGACAAATTTGTAGAATTTTTCAGATCTTATTGCAATTTGCATCACCATTTTCTGAAACCCTCTGGCCTCATCGAAATGTAAATAAACTTTCTTAAGACCCTCAAGGCTCATTTAAGTTTTTATACTTTTTTTGAGGCTCTTGGGGTTAGTAGATATTTTTTTGATACCATCAGCGTTTATAGAAATTTCTATCGATCCCGAGGGCTTTTACAAATGTTAGAATTTTTTTTTATAATTTTTTCCAGCTTTTTTTCACCAACAACCATTTACATCCATATTTTTATCCATACACAACTTATAAAATATTCATATATGACAGCAAAAACAAAAAAAAAATAAATAAAAAATTCACTCTCCTGCCATAAATTGTTTTAATTACCATTTTTGGGTGACATGACATTTATACTCAACATTGTAGTCATATAATAACACACACACACACAGACACATTCCCATACACACCTGAACTGCAGGTGTAGTTGGTGTAATTTTTTATATATAATATAAATTGTATATAAATATAAATCATTTTTTTGTTTTTTTTTTTAAATATTTTATTTATTTTTAACGTCGTCGTAGTTCTTGTCGTCATCGTCATCATCATCATTGCCACCATATTTCAGTTGTCGTTGTTGTAGTTTTTGTTTTTTATTATTTTTTGTAAAGGCACTTTAATGGCTTTTGTGCTGTGGTACTTGTCTCGTTTACGTCATAATTTCGTTTATTGACTGTCGTTTTCATTGATTTTGTCATTAACACGGTGACAGTTTTTTTCTGTCTTTTTTTTGTATTTTTGTTTTTATTAATAGTGTTTTAATTCAATAATAATAACACTACTACAAATAAGTTGTTATTTTTTATCTCTGTTCATAAATGCAAATGCGTATATTTTTTATTTATATTCAATGAAATGTGAGGGAAAATAATTTTTTTTTCAGCGAAGGACATTTGAGTGTAGATACATTTTAATGGAAAATATTAAATTAAATTAAAAATATATAAACAAATCATGAAGCAAAAATATTCAAAATTTGTTTCCAACCATCTCTCTCCAAAAAATCTCTTTCACACAAAAATCAAATAAACATCTACATCTTTATTTTCTATGAAGAACAATGAAAGTCCCACTTGTCTCCTACATCTTATTTTAATATTTCAATCTCCTTACGTTTTCAATTAAACTGACATCAACTTAAAACTGACATTTATTGGCAACGAATTCTGATTTTATATACACAAAAAATTGAAACTGATTTCATTAATTGCTGATTCCATAAAAAACCCCATCTCTGCCCTACAAAAAAATTGATACTTGCCAATAACAGATCGTTGTGAATTAACGTGGCTGGCAGTCAATAATCACCGACAACTGCTAGCTCTCAGATGCTCATTGATTACACTATCCATCCACACCATTACTTATTTACATACATCTCCACATGAAGAAAAAAAGCAAATATGAAAAAAAAACGGATAAAAGCCGTTCTCTCTCTTTTGTTTCGTTGTGCGAAAAACTTGTAATGAAATTAATTCACACACACACACATACATTCACACAGAGACACCCACTTTGGCTACACTTTAAATTTCAATTTGCCAATTTGCTTCATGCAAACACCGAGGAACGACAGCATGCATGTGAGCTATAAAAGCTACTTAGCAAATAAAGTTTGGAATCGATGTATCAATACAAGAACAACAAAACTCAGTGATTGATAGAAAAAAAAGGATCAACCTCAATTTAAACAATAACCCAAGTTGTAGGTTAAAATTTTGGAAAAGGATTTTTATCTTTGAAAGTTAGTAGGATCAGTTATCAATTATATAGGATCCCTCCCAAGTGGATTTGATATCTGGATATCTACAATAAAGACTTCAGATTTAGAAATATAGGAAAAGAACTACGCTTGACCCACATTACAAAAACTTATTTTGGCATTTGGCACTTCCAAGTCCCTTTGGAAAAAATATATATACTTTTTTTTAATCTAGGGGTCTTTTAATAGTCCAGGTGCTATGGCCCATAAAAATTTTTAAAACAATCAGGGTGGCCGAGGCTTTATGAATAATATTTTTATATCCTTCACCACACTGTGGTACAGGGTATTATGTCTTTGTGTATATGTTTGTAACAGGCAAAAGGAAACGGGATAGACAAATGGTTCCTTTTGAGAATATGCATAGAATAACTTTTTAAGTCGATTTATGCATGTCCGTCCGTCTGTCCGTCCGTCCATGTATTTTTGTTAACAAAGTACAGGTCGCATTTGTCATCCGATTTGGATGAAATTTGGCACAGGTCACTTATTTGGCCCAAGGACGAACCCTAAATTGGTAAAAATCGGTTCAGATTTATATATAGCTCCCATATATATTTTCGTCCGATTTTAGGTAAATAGTGCACCAAAGTCCCTATAAATCATTAGACCCGCTAAATATTGGCCGCTTTTTATCAATACAGGCCTGCTTATACTTTGGCCCTTTCCCCTTCTCCATGTAAAAATTCGCGCTGTTTGGACGATAATTGCGGCCTCTGGAGCGACCAGAAAATCAAAAAAAAAAGTTGTTGGTCCATTTCATCCCCTAAATATTAATCGATCTTTACCAAAAACAATAGGGGTCTTCATTTGGCAGGACGCATCCTACATGCACAATTTCGTGAAGATTGGTCCATAGCTGTGTATCATGTTTACAAATTGTAATGGACATGACTTATAAAAGTTCTTGGAAATATATTTAAACATCCAAGACATCATTAATAGCCCTTCAAAATATTGAAACAAATATCCTGAAAATCTTTTTTTCTAAAAAAAACATTTTGAACTTTTTTATAACTTCTATTTTTTAGGCTATTTTTTCTAATATATCTCCCAAAGTCCTTAAAAACCATATCTTAGTTTAAGATATTAAAATATCTTTCTTCCTTCCCGCAATTTATATTTTTAGCATCCTACCACCTCCCACCCCCTTCAAAAATAATTTATTATTCCACACACGATTTGAACATTTTACATTCTTAACGCTAAGCAACAACATGTCTTCTTAATAAATTAAATTAGGCAACTGAGCTACCACTATGACATTGTTGGAACCTATTTGAAATTCCAAATATGCTACCCACTCTATTATGTAGTGTCCTCTTGCATACACATAACACACAAACACACACACGTACCATTTATTTGATTGGCATCAACACCCATTGTCCCAGCCTTAGTAAATGGCAAGAGAGAGATATACAATCAGAAACACACACACACGGACACACACAAACATATAGGTACACATATGTGTGTAACTTTTCAATGAATACCAAATATACAGACATTCAGCACGTCGCAAAAATGTTTTAACAATGCCCGGGTATGAAATCAAATTAAGTATTGACGTCAAAAGGACAATGACAACAAGCTAACAACCCAACAACCAACAACAGCTCGAACAGCAGCAGGAGCGGCAGAAGGAACAGCACCAGCAAAACACACAAAATCTATATGTGAATGGGTTGGTTTCCCTATTTTTTCAGTTGTTTTTTTTTACATTCTTGTTGTTGGTATAAGTAAACACCTGTAGTCGCACACACAGACACACACACGGAGAAAGAGAGATAAAACACACACGCTGACTGACATGTTAACACATGTATGTAAGTTTTGCGGCCATGTCGAATACATTTGCTTACATGTTACCGAGCGAATATACGAACGAACAAACGATGCTTTCATGTGTGTTTGGCTTGTTGGTGTCGATGTCAGTGTCAGCTCTTGTTCTTCATTTGTTGTTGTTGCTGTTGCTGTTGTAAGTGTTTTGGTCGCTCTCTTTGTTTGTGTTTGTTGTGTGTGCAGGGCTGGTTATTGTTAAAAAGTGTTCAATTTCAACCCCATCATTGTTCAAAATGACATTGTGCTGCCACAAGTTACAGACACCAAAAAAAAAAAAAACGGAACACCACCACAACAGCAGCAACAACAGCTGAAGGATAACTGTTTCTGGGTCCTGGAGGAGCAAAGGATGGGAAAACAATATTTGAAACGTAAAAAAAAATATACCAAACACAAGAGTCAACGTCATTTACACCTTTGGCTATATTTTATTTCCATTTTTAGTGGTTATTGTTATCGATACACATTCGTACATATGTAGGTGTATGTGTGTGGGAGTTAGGGTATAGTTGTTTCTTAATTTGATATATTGATATTGAAGTAACTTTTTTTCGTTCGGCAATTTATATTGATATGTTTTCTAATAGCAATGTGTTTTTTTGTCTTCTTTTTTCTCTCTCATTTTAGAATGTCCCACCGCCATGGATGGCATGGAACGTTTTGCATGTCCGACACCCGACGTCCAGGGCAGATATCGTTGCATAGACGATCATGTCCTGTGTGATGGCTTCATTGACTGTCCCGAGGGTGAGGATGAAGATCGAAGATCGTGTATGTTCTACAAGACGGTAAGTGGAAAATTTAAAACGAAATCAAAATGTTAATTAACTATAAAGATAAGAGATTACCAAGGACATTAAGGTTCATATATAATCTATTATATTTTTCTGGAAACCGAATTTTTAAAAATTATTAAAAGGGGTCTTCTTTGATCCGCTCCGAACATACATATACAATTTCGCGACGATTGGTTCATAACTTTTGCCTGACCGTTTTAACAAATTTTAATGTCTAGACGATCGGTAAACTAAAAGGAGGGTCTACGACCAATATTCCGCGGCGTTACAAAAAGCTATTATATGCTTACAATATATTTGTGTAGGACATAAAAATCCGCTCAAGTGTTTGGTCCTTCAAAAAATATTAAAAAAGCCATCGCCTATTTGTGGTCATTGAAAAAAAATTATTTTTAAAACTTTACCACATTTTTGGCAAAGAAGCCACGCCTATGTGTGGTTACCGGAAGGACATTTTTTTAAAGAATACACCTATTTGTGGTTCCCGGAAAGAAATATTTTTTTAAAATCCACTACTATGTGTGGTCCCTGAACATTTTTTTTTAAGTCAAAGTCTATTATTAGTCCCTTAAATATATATTTTTGTAATCCACGCCTAAATTTAGTCCCCGAAAAAAATATTTGTAAAAAATTCTGGCTGTCGTAAGCTTTTAAAAAATATTTGTTTTTAACAACCATGCGTATATTTGGACACTCAAATAAAAATTTGTAAAAAAATCTCGACTTAATGTGGTCTCTGAGAAAAAACAAAAAACAACCCATGTGGTTCCTAATAAAAATTATACAAACTCAGGTTCTTTTTTAGGTACTCGAAAAAAATCCATACGAACCACTTTAATATTTTTTAAGCGTAGATTTTTTAAAATATTTCTTCAAGCAAAACTTTCGAGGGAAATTAAGTCAGTCACTGTTTCTGAAAAACATTTAAGATTACAAGATCAATCAAAAAACATCCTTCTTCAAGGATTTACAATGCAGTTATGCTTAATTTTTTTAAACCTATTTCCTGATATGAGCCCAAAAAGTTTTCCAGTTCTGGATGCCTGGTATGTTTGAGAAACAAAATAAAAATTTTAATCTGGTATCAGTGTTCATGCACATTAAATTGTATTAAATACTTTATGTAGTTGATTTATTAGAAACAAATAAACGCATAGATTAAAAAACAAAAACTAAAAATGTTTTTTTTATTTATTTATGGAAGTCTAAAAAATTTGTCAGTGGGGGTTCTTTATAATAGTTTCTTAATATTAGCTGTCAAATGCCAATCGTGGCTCCGAAAGAATTAAAAAAAAAATATCCCAAAAATGTTCTGCCTTTTTTGGTAAATTTCACAAAAATACCAGGCTCTCAGAATGTAATAGCTAGTTGCCAGGCAGAAAAATTAGAAGTTTTAATCAGGCATCATCATGCTTAAATCTAAAAACTTCGATCTGGCAACTCCCTACCAAAAATGTCCAAAAATATTGGTCTGACAGCCCGAACATTTTTTGTTTTTGGTAAATTTCACAAAAATACCAGGCTCTCAGAATAAAATAGCTAGTTGACCGACAAAAAATGCAAATTTTGATCTGGCAACATCATACTTAATTCTAGAAATTTCGATCTGGCAACTCCCTACCAAAAATGTCCAAAAATATTGGTCTGACAGCCCGAAAAACATTTTTGGTAAATTTAACAAAAATACCAGGCGCCCAGAATAAAATAGCAAGTTGCTCGCCAAAAAAAATAAAAATTATGAAAAATTTTGGTCTGGCAACACCCTACCCGCCAAAAAATTCGAGCGCCTAACAGCATGCTACAAATTTTGTAATTTCATGTAAGGCGTTGCCAGATGCAAATTTTATCTATATTTTTTTTATTTTTGGCGGGCTACTTTCTATTTATTCTGGGCGCCTGGTATTTTTGTGAAATTTGGCCAAAAAATGCACCTAACAAGGTGACAGAAAAATTGTGACGTCATCACATAAATGTATGTCACACTCATAGAGGCATTTATACTTACCGCAATTGAATCCGCAAAATAAAAACAATATTTTTTGATTTTTTTTTTAATTTTTATTAAATAGTCTTTGTAAAAATCATATGAATACATTTAAAAATGTTACTTTACTAACAAAAAATTCTTAACAACTTAACCGACTTATTTGGTCTTTACTGTATTGAAATCCTTAATTTTTGAATTTTACGATTAAGCGAACCAGTTCCAAAAGTTGCAAATAATTATCGTTATAGGCGGGCCTGCCGCCGTAATTTGGAATCATACGGAAATCCGTGAATATATAATTCACAACAACCTTAAATGAGAAATAAAAGAGCTTAAATTAAAAAATATAAATATATATATTTTTAAGATGAGAAATATGTTTTAGTTTGAAATTAAACGTTTGAATAACATCAGTCAAATAAAGTTTAAGCTTTAGTTTGGTATTTGTTTGTCTAGATGACTGTATGTGGGTTATCAGTGTTTTTTTTAATTTCAAATTTATTTTAAACTTTAATCAAGTTCGAAGATGGGACCCATCATTCCACTCCTTCTTCACAGAACAAATTAAATGGATATTGATACTACCTCGATTATCCACTACGCCTTCATAGGACCCTTAAACATATTTTTACAAAAATCTAAGCCTTGATTGGTATCTTTAAAAATATTTTCAAATAGTCCTTAAAAACATATTTCAAAAAATCCACGCCTTGAAATAGTCCTTAAAACATATTTCAAAAAATCCACGCCTTCAAATAGTCCTTAAAAACATATTTCAAAAAATCCACGCCTTCAAATAGTCCTTAAAAACATATTTCAAAAAAGCCACGCCTTCAAAAAGTTCTTAAAAACATATTTCAAAAAATCCACGCCTTCAAATAGACATTAAAAACATATTTAAAAAATCCACGCCTTCAAATAGTCCATAAAAACATATTTCAAAAAAGCCACGCCTTCAAATAGTCCTTAATTTTTTTTTTAATTCACAAATATTTTAGGCTCACTAAAATATTTGTCAAGTCCTTAAACATTGTTTTTTAAAAACTCCACGCTTTTTTTAGTCCTTAGAAATATATATTTTTAAATCCTTGCTATAGAGTCCTTCAAAAATATTAAAAAAAATATATCAAAAATATTTTTAAAACATGCCCTAAAAACTTCGACGTCCTTTAAGAAGAAAAATAATTTACAAAAAAATTTTGTTGTTGTTTTGTTGTTGTTTTTTGTAATTAAAGAAAAGTCCTAATTTTTGATGGCGGGCATGATAACTCCTCACTGGAACATCGGAATCCGAAAATTCCAACGGTGTTAGAAAGAGTACATGTCTGGCTCTCGTATGAACTAGGATTATTGACTTCGCTCTAAAATTATCAAAATGGTGGACCTTTGAAAAAATATTTTTGGAAAATCGCCAATTTTTTACCAAAACCCAAATTAAAAAATAAGGAAGATCTTCACCGATTGGCTTTATCCTAGTTCATACGATAGCTATACACTCACAGAGAAACGTGTAAAAATTTGAAATCGATTGGGTTATTAATTTTTGAGTTATCGTGCCCGCCATTCGCAAAAAAAATGTTTAGAGAAAACGCATTTAAAGTTTGAGAAGCCCTTCAGCCGCCACTTGATGCTGACACAATAAATCGGCTATAACTTCAAGAGTTCTTGAGATTTTCATTTGAAATTTTGTAGGGACATTCTTTAGTTAGTGTAGATTCGAATTATATCAACATAATTTAAACCTTAAACCATAAAAATATTTGTTAATAAATCCACGCCTTTCTATGGTATCTTAAAATATTTTTTTAACACACGCTCCTCTATAATCCCGCAATATATATTTAAAAAAATTCAAGCCATTTGGTAGTGCTGTTTTATCTTTTTTTATTAATTTTCACAATTAATTTATTTTTAATTATATTTATGTATCTCTTTTCAGACGAAAGCACATCTGGATGTGCTGGCTGATGCGTTACTAAGATGGGCCCGAGGCCGCTAGGTCTAAGAAACTGTAACATAGTTAAAAAGATGAAAGCCAGCAGTAGCAGCAACAGTAAATAACAGCAACAATAAAGTATGAAAAACATAACTCCTCCGCCATTCATGTAACCCCCCCAAAAAAGAGACGACGACGATGAAGAAGAAGAATATGAAGCAAAAAAAATTCCTAAATTAAATTTACCCAAGAACAACAAGCAATCGAAAATACACATCGTAGTGGACAAGAAAATTCTAAAACAAAATTCTCCTTGATCTCCCTTTTCCCTACTACCACAAAAGAAAAGAAAATTCGGTTCTCTCTCTTTAAAATGCAAAACAACAACCAACCATTCCCAGAACTACAGAAAAGTCCCCAATTTTTAAAGCACATAATTGGCAGTTACAAAGAAAGCAATCAGGTAATATACTTAACAAAACAAACAAACAAACAAATTCCAGAAATCAAGAAATAAAAATCTCCAAGCGAACACACAAAACACACATACATGCCACTAGCAACAAAACAAACAAAAACAAAACTCTAGTATGTTTAAAAAAAATCGTATATATACAACAACAAAAAATGGTAGCAGCATGAAGATACCAAAGAAGAAGAGTATGTAATCTGTATAAAGAATGGTAATATATATTTAGTATAAAGACAAAAAAACACAAAAACAACAACAGCAGAAAATAAGCAAAGAAAACGAAGACGAGGGAGAATAAGAGCAAATATAAAAAAAAAATTAAAAACCAAAAAATATTATATATAAAAAAAAATCCCCCCCAAAGAAAAACCAAAATTAACTATTATGCATATTATTATTAATTAATTATTATTATAAATTATTATACAATTATATTATATATACATATAATTATTATTATTAATTATTATCAAAATTTATTAATTATGGACTTTAACAGAACAAAAAATCCAACAAAACCAAACCTACAACCAAACCAAAAAAAGTAAGCCACATCCCCATAATTCAAGAAAAAAAAAACAGATTCCTTAATTATATTTAAAAATTCAAACCCGAAAAAAATATTAACAAATACACACACTTGCATTCAGTTAAATATTTTTTTCTCTCTCTCCCAAAAAAAAAAGAAAAAAATCAAACCAAAAATTCTCTTCTAAAGAAATGCAAATATTTTTATGATGTGTATATTTTTTCTTCTTCTTACTATTTTTTTCAGTGTGTCTGTGTGTGTATATGTAAGTGTTTTCAAAATAATTTATCTCCTCCCCAGACTCCCCACAGCAAATAAAACCTTTTTGTGACCTTTTTCCCTCCTCCAACACTACTTCCCCCCAAAAAAAAATTACTTAAAGCTCCAGTGTATGTATAAATAAAAAAAATAAATACTATTATTAAAAAAAACACACAAACTATATACTGAAAATAAATTATATATATTTATAAATATATATACACATATTATACATATTGAGAAAAAAAAAATAATTTATTATTATTATCGGTGATGAAGATGCAGATGATGATGAATGAATTGTAAAATCTTTAACAACAACAACAAAAAACGTAACATAAATTAAATGACAAAAAAACATACACATATTTCAGAAAATATATATGTTAACAGGGTGGCCACAAAAAATAATGGTTAACAAAATGAAGCTACTTCAATTTGAGTTATGGTCCTTAAGAAGGCAGTGATAAAAAATCTATTCTCGAAGGAATTATCGTCATACATTTCAGTATCGAAATTATTTTCATAAATTTCGATACTGGAAGAAGGCTTCTCTCATTGAGGCTTTCAATTTTTTTTTTTATTAGAAGACACTTTTATTTTTTATATAAATTCTTGAAATCATTTCAGAATTCAAATATAACTCCAAATGTTTGGCAAAGAATTCACGCCAATGTGTGGTTACCGAAAGGATTTTTTTTTTTAAAGAATCCACACCTATTTGTGGTTCGGTCCGGAAAAAACATTTTTTTTAAAATCCACTACTATGTGTGGTCACTGAACATTTTTTTAAGTCAAAGCCGATTATTAGTCCCTTAAATATATTTTTGTAATCCAAGCCTAAATTTAGTCCCCGAAAAAATATTTGTAAAAAATTCTGGCTTTCGTAAGCTTTTAAAAAATATTTGCTTTTAACAACCATGCCTATATTTGGACACTCAACTAAAAATTTGTAAAAAATTGAAAAAACTACCCAATGTATACATATGGTTCGTAATAAAAATTACACAAATTCAGGTTCTAAATTCTTGAAATCATTTCAGAATTGAAATATAACTCCAGTAAGAATTAATAAGTCTTTTGAAGAACACTTTGAATTATTAAAAAAAAAACCTTTTTTATATTCTTTTTATAAAGAATCAAATAAATTTCAAAAATTCTCAATATTTTAAAATGTATTTAAAGAAGCAAAATTTTTGTAAAAAAAAAATCCGTTTCCCTTAAAAATTAATTTTTTAAACTGTTTATTAGCAGAAATTCCTGATTTTTTTATGTAAACTCTTTAAATAATTTCGGAATTTAAATATAATTCCCATAAGAATTAACAAGACTTTTGAAGAACTCTTTGAATTTAAAAAAGTCCCTTTTTATATTTTTTATCAAAAAATTTCAAAAATTCTCGATATTTGAAAATTTTTGTAAAAAATGCATTTCCCTTTAAAAAATTAATTTTCTTCCCATTACTTTTGTGACACCCTGTTAACATATATATTTTTTCAAAAAACACTATATATATTTCAATAAAATAAAAAAAGACTAAATATATAACATAAATATGAAATGACGAACTTTTTCGTTATTATTTTTTTTTTAATTTTTTCATCATGATTTTTTTCGATTTTTTTAATGTACATATTTATTTACCATATATAATTTGTAAAAAAACACTCATAATTATAATATTTCTGTTTTTGTACATATACACTTCTTTTTTACATGGCAGATATTTATTTTGTTAATAGATCATTAGTCATAAGTTTTATTTTTAATTATTATTTTTTTATTTTTTGTGCATAAATAAATGTATAATTTGTTTTAAAAAATATTAAATTTCTTTTCGTTTTTTATTTGTTTTATTTTTTTTAATTATTTATTTAATACGGATTTTGGGCTCTCTTATTGGCCGGCAAAGCATAATGAAGAGAGCAGGAAATAAAGGGTTCCCTTCCCTTTATTTCCTGGATTGGGTGCACGCCTGACACTTTTTTTCTCGTTTTTTTTTTTAGAAGTATCCTCCACTGGTTACAACTTAAAAAAAAATTGACCTATTAACACAAATAATGTGTCACATTTAAGGGCTAATTTTTGTCTCTTGTATAGTATCGACAAATGGGCGCCATCTATTGACAGTTGGGCGCCATTGATATTGCGAAAGATTGAAATTTTACTTTATGGTATCTGTCGCATTAATTTTGAACTACTAGTGGTATTATAATAAATTTGTTTTCATATAAATGCTCAGGAGTCTGATTATTTTCAAATCCATTCACATTTTGGAATTGGGCCCACGACTGACCCCTTTCCGACTTGTTTCTTTACAATTATCTTTTAAATGTCGTAACTTTTTAACCAATTAAACTATTAGCACAAATAAGGTGTCATCTTAAAGGCTAAAATGTTGTCTTTATTATGGAATCTACAAAATTGATTTTAAAAACTCATTTAGCATTGTAATTTTTAAAGATATACTTCAAAACAATTTTTCATATAGAATATTTCATATTTTTGAATTTATGGGTAAATATCGAAATAGCCAGTGTTTTTAGCTTTCATATGACACCAATTTTATCGCAATGCTATCAGTAGTTCAAAAGTTATGCAACAAATATCAGAACATTAAATTTTTCGTTTTCGCCATTTCGATCTACGGCATCAATAGATGGCGCCCCAGTCGCAAAATTGACAGGTCGTAAGGGGAAATCGAGGTCGTGGTAAAATTAAGCTAACTTTGGAATGGATTGAGATATTTTGATAAATCCAACGACTATTTAAAGCTTAAGGAGTTCTCTTTCGTTACAAAATTTGTTTGTCTAAAAAAATTGCATACAAAGCTTTCTAATAATACATAACATTATTTGTAAGCAAAATTTACCTAATTATGATCAGGATTTTAAATTTCTTGTTATACACAGATAATCAGCGAGTTCTAACCTGCTTATAACCGTTTAAATCTTACAAATATCTCAATCCATTCAAAAGTTATTGCAATTTTACGAAGACCTTGATTTTCCCTTACGACCTGTCATTTTTGCGACTGGGGCGCCATCTATTGATGCAGTAGATCGAAATGGCGTAAACGAAAAATTTAATGTTCAGGCATTTCTTGCATAACTTTTGAACTACTGGTGCAATTGTCATAAAATTGGTGTCATATGAAAGCCAAGAAGTCTGGCTATTTGAAGGTGCATACGCATTTTCATAAATATGAAATGTTGGGTGTAAAAAATTCCTTCGAAATAGAAATTTCGAATTTTTCGTATAAAAGAAGTTTAAAAAATTAAATTTTCCATTTCTATAATAAAGAAAACTATTTTCCCTTTACTATGACACCTAATTTGTGTTAAACGAGCAGTTGGTTAAAAACGTACAGCCCGTTGAAGACAATTGTGAAGAAAATCACATAACGCAATATTTTTCTTATATAACATAAATATTTTCAATATGGAATAAAACTTTAGAATTCCCTCTAATCATTGCTGTAAAATTTATGAAAATCGGTTAATTAGTCGCTGAGTTATTTGCATTTGAATTTTACCATGCTTCGAAATACACTTCCTACTCGATTCTGGGCGCCTATTACCTAAAAATGAAAAACACCGCAAAAATCGGGTTTTTAAAAAAGGCAAATTTTCATAATGTCTGCTGGTTGTTAAAGAAAAGTATAGCATACTTTTAGGCCAAAGGAGATGCAATATCTTGTTACCTTGATATGTAAGTGGAATTGTGTGTGATGTTATGCATATATGTAATGTAAAATATATTTACTAACACACATACATACAGTAGCTGTTGTGAAGAAAAATTTCCCATTTTTACAAGATCGATTTTTGT